TGTCCACACTCTCCCTAAAGGGGGCCAGATTCGATGATGTGGAAACACTGGGGTGCCGGATGCTTCTACCTATATATATATATATATTTTTTTTTTTTAATTTTTTTTTTACGGATTAGTATGAATACTTAAATACAAGGAGCTCTAAAAGATTTTCAGAATTCTTTTGTACGGAGCCCCGCACATGTCATGCAGACAAAAAAAATTGTAGGCTAAATTGTGTGCACGATTTTCCATTTCGTTCCCTCGATTTATAAATTGTGCGTACGATTTAGCAAATCGAGGGAACGAAATAGTAATCGTGTGCACATTTTAGTACATCGAGGGAACGAATTAGTAAATCGTGCGCACGATTTATTTATTTTTTCTTGCATGTCATGTGCGGGGCTCCGTACTTTTGCTTTAGAATCTAAATCTTCAAATAAAATGTTAAGGTTATCACTACATCTGTCTAAAAAAAAAAAAACAATGACTGATTTATAGTTATTTTCAAATTATAAAATAACTTCATTATTGTTTATTTAATTCTAACAAGTAGTTTTTTTTTTTTTTTTAAACTAAGCAAAATTAAAAATAACTTGTTTATAATCACAGGAGAGAGAAAGGAAATATATCGGCATCAGATATCGGCCAAAATAATTGGCCATATTTCATCCCAAAAAATCAAAAGCAAAAATAAAATAAATTAATAATAATAATTATAGAAAATTCACATTACTTAAAGAAAAAGATATATAAATCTTTTGTAAAATTATAATGCTGAATAAAAGTATTAATAAAAAAAAAAAACAGTATTATAAAAACAGTTTCATATGATTAATCATATATTGTTGAATTAAAAAAAAAACTTACCCAAATATTTAAATTGTAAAAGCAAAAAATGAGATCATATAGAACTTATTTTATATTTCATACACATTTAAATAATATTTCTGTGAAGAAATGTCTGTCTCAAATTTCATTTCAATAATCAAAAGCAAAGTATATTTTACATTTGAAAAAAATATTTATTTTTGTAAGATTAAGATTTATTTGCATTATGACATTAATTTTATGTAAATTGGCACACCTCTAAATAGTCATTATCATAAAAAAACCCTCATTATTTATACTGTAATAAAAATAGTCTTTAAATGCAGTGCTAATGTACTTTCTAATTTGAATAAAATATCATTAAATATAATAAATATATAATGAAAATAATGTCACAATGCAAAAAAAAAAAAAAGTAAGGATTTAAAATATTTTAAGAAATTTGCAAAAGTGGAAAAGACTGTCAGTAGAATACAAGCCTAAAAATTATATAATTTTGAACTTGTCGCAATGCATTCTGGCATTGCCTTCACCATTACAGATAGATGCTGTATGCTTCCTAATTTGGCCATGATATATAATTATGCTGCCTTTTAGAGCAGTTTTTTGCATTGGGATCAGCCTTAAAAGGCTGCAGCAAACAGACCTGTGATGTGTATTTTAGCACTAGTTGTCCTTCACCTCATATTTCCATATTTTCCGTATTCTCAGATCTGCTCAGGCTTGGGCTGTGTATGATCTGCAGGTGCTGATGGACTGAGTCGGCACCTGTTCCTGCTCCGTCTCTCATGCCCTTGATGCTCTTCTTGGGTATCGATTCCACCGACTGCTTTTGCTCCGGCTGAGGCCATTAGGTCTATGTTTAGTAGAGCAGCCTTGTTTGAACTTCATTGCGGCCTGTTCTTTTGGCAGTAAATGCGCTTATTATGCTGTTTTAGTTTCTTCACATACAGTTTTATTTACAACTGTGAAAAATCATTGGAGATTATTGGAGTTTGTTTTACAAGAAAAAACTATTTAATTCTTTCTATTTCAAAATCTCATGTTTAATGAATTGTTCAGTTGCTGTCGTAAACTGAAATTTCCTTGCAATTTCCGAGTGAAAATTGTTTCTACACCATTTTTTTTAATGTGAAATAATCAGATCAATAGAAAACAAACTAATCATGTAAAATCTAGATGGTTTTATAAATATGAGGAACGTTAGCGGAGTAATTCACCCACAAATCAATCATTATTTACTGACTTTTCACAGAAGAAAGAAAGTCTGGAGTGTTCCTGACTTGTTACTCTTGAGTGATTTCAAATGAATTCAGTGTTGAAAGGTTTGCCTTTCATTGTGTTTGTGGTTGTGATCTCAAGGTTAAGACGACTGAAACTCAAGTTAGAAGAGCATTATGGTCAGATAAACTCATCAAACTCAAACACTCTGCTAACACTTACTTACACTGCAATAAGTGATGCTCTTCCTCAGTATGTTGTCTTGTTTTCCAGTACAAATAACTACATTCTTAAATCAAGAGCGAAGTTAAACAAGATATTAAGACTTGTTTCCTGAAAGATTCATCAAAATTAAGTGAGTAAGAAAAAACACGGGGAAAGAAAAATAATCTTGTTTTTCTTTTAAATTATGTTGATTTTTTCTGATCCTATTGGCAGACATTTTTCTTGTTTTAAGCAAAAACTCACTTATTTTTCCAGAAAACAAGACATACAACAACAAAGTCATTTTGCTTCCCAAATAAATATATCTTGATTTTTTTTCTCAATTTTATTTAATGCATCTGAATTTTTTGATTTAATGCTAAATGAATCTTGATTTAAGAACGTTTAGATAAAAATACTGATTTATTTATTTTGCAGTATATCAGCCTGTTTACTTCTTTCCCTTGGGATTCGTAAATAGAAATTCAGTACCACAATCCCACTCTTTTGTGCTGGTCTTTCTCGTTTTTTCTTTGTGAAAGCAGTTTTGGCGTGAACAGTAGAAATAGCCGCTGTTGTGGTGTTAATGGTGATCTGGTTGGAAAAGACTGTGGCCTAATTGTAGTTGATGAAAGAGTCGTCTCCTTGATGTGCATGACTGTTAAGTGACAGTGTTGACAGCCAGTGCTTTCCACATCACTTCCTGTTCTTCCCGTCACATGGGCCGTGGTCATGTGATCATTTCTGTCCCAGTCACAGCAACAGCAGGGAGCAGAATAAAAATGATATCATTAAAGCAAAATGACCCGGTTTACTTTCTTTCTCCACAGTTTGTTTGGCATCTCCTCCATCGTTCGAACCGACTGCTCCTCAACCTGGAAGCTTGCTGTCAACAGTGGCCTGAACTGGCACCATTTTGTCAATCCCATCATGCTCTTGGTCCTGTACTACACACTGGCCACCTTGATCCGTCTGTGGCTGCAAGATCCCATGATCATGGTGAGCCTAATGCCACTTGAAGTGAAAAAGTATATTTTATGGTGTATTTTAAGTATTATTTGAATGTACACGCTGCCAAAAAAATATTATTTTAATGAGATTTTCCAGTTGAAAATATCCAAATATCCGTTAAACAATATATTTTAAATTAATTCCAATGGCAAAAATATTTTTCTTGTTTTTAAGCATAAACTTCACTAAACTTGATGAATGGATGCAAACAATTAAAGTGGAGAAAAAATGGTTTAAAAATAAATTTACTTTGAAAACAAGTATTTTTCTGTATTTTACACAAAAACACTGTTTTTTTATCATTGATGTCAAGCTTGTCTCAATTTAATGCATTTTTCATGCATTTTAATACAAAGAAATTAATTTAGGAATTTTACAAAAGGCAAACAAAATATTGAGGACAGAGGGACAAACATATATAATGATTTATTGACCAATTAACATTTAGTCTAAAAAAAAAAAAAAAATGCAATATTTCTTAATAAATAAATGTTAATATTCCTTAAAGGGGTCATATGATGCGATTTCAAGTTTTCCTTTCCTACAATAATGTACAGTATTTGAAAAATAATGTGTTTTTTGAACATTAAAGCATGTCAACATATTCTGTTACACCAAATACACAAAATAATGATCTTTAAAAAAGCATCATATGACCCCTTTAATTAATATTAGTCAACTGTGTCTATAATATGCTTTACTTAAACTATTATTAAACTAAAACTAAAATAATTTGTTACTTTAGATAAAATAAATGTTAACTTTATATAAAATGTAAATAAAATAAAATATGAAAAATGTTTTTTACAGTTTTTTAAACAAACCGTTTTTAAAATAAAAATTAATAAACTATGTAGACTTTGAAAAAACTAAAAATGAATAAAAAGGACAATAACACAAGAAAATTTCTAAAAACTTACACTTAAATTAAAGTGAAAACAAAATTTAAAAAAATTCAAAATATTAACAAAGAAATCATGGCTATATAATAGTATATGAATGATACTTAAATAACACTGATATGAAGATGTATATGATAGGCACATAACAATGTTCAATGTTGGTTTGATCTCTGTCACCTTTTCCCCATCTGTCCACATGCTGTCATGCGCTTCACGGCTTTATAGAGCGGTCAATACCTCACATGTATGAGCTTATTGATTCACATGCCTCTAGGTTTGATCACAGCATGATTTCACGATTTTGTTGTTGGCGTTAATCTAAGTGATGAGAATAACCGGTGACGTGACTTCGCAGAGAGATCGATGATGAATCATAAACGCTGTTACGCCTTCATCCGATGAAATGATTAGTTCATTGTTGCTGTTTTCATCTCATGACTCCATTAAGCGTGTTTATCATCTTCAGAGTTTTCATTCGTAAGCTGCTCCACGATACATGTTTTAATTTCATTCACGGTACTCACTGAATATGTTTCTGTGTTTATTGATTTTTCTCTGGCAGGAGAGTGAGGAAGAGGAGATTAACGGGGAAAATGAGACCGCTGGAAACCGCTTCATTCACACGTCGATCGGGAAGCGGCTGCTCTGGTGGAATGCGCATCAGAAAACTGAGGAAAGAAATGTGGGGGAACAAAGAGCATTTTTAAAGCTTAAATTAAGAAAATGTCTCACAATGCTAAACTTTATCTTAATCCAGTAAAGTTTAGAGGCCACAATATAAGTCCGAAATTGCATGTAATGAGGTCATAGACTAGTGGAACAAAAACATTCAAAATAAACTTTTAAGTGTTTATTTTATTGCACTTTATCTATTTGGGTCTGTAGAATTTAGTTTTAATACATATATTCAAGTGAAGTTTTTATCTCCACTTCAGCAGCACTCATAATTTGAAGGTTTTTTTCTGAAGGGTTTGTTTATATATATATATATATATATATATATATATATGATTTGCACTGATTTATATAACATTTTATTCCTAAAACATGGTGAATTTTTTTTCTGCCTGTTGACAGTATTTTCTGAAAATCCAAAACCCCTTTACACTCTAAAAATGCTGGGTTAAATACAACTTAGCGCTGGGTAAAATATGGACAAACCCAGCGATTGGGTTGTTTTCAACCAACAGTTGGGTTAAATGTTTAACCCAACCTTCTGGGCAGTAACCCAACTGCTGCTGGGTCAAAACAAGCCAGTCGCTGGGTTTATCCATATTTTACCCAGCGTTGGGTTGTATTTAACCCAGCATTTTTTAGAGTGTATGCAAAAATGCTGGGTTAAAAACATCAATTTCTGGGTTATTTGGCAACCCAGTGCTGGGTAAATATTAGACAGAACACATGCTGGGTTAGTTTAACCCAGCTTTTTGGGTTTTATACATTAACCCATTTGCTGGGTTGTTTTTTGACATTGTGCTGGGTCAGTCAACCTATTGAAGGTTTTTCATTTTAATAATGAAAATGCATTCTAATAACTGTTTTATATATAGGACAAAAACAGTTCATATACAATATTTTTATTAATTTAATGTCAAGTCAGTCTTTTACAATCATAAAATCTTCAAAAACATTCAGTAAAGGGTTTAGGATGTGACAAGAGCAGCCAATAGGAATCTGTAGATCAGTTGGCTGTTCCAGTTCATTAAATGACTTAAGGTGCGTTCACGCCATATCGTAATTACCGTGATTACGAGATACCAACTTTAAAAAAAATAAAATCACGTCCTCGTAGAAGTCGTAATTACAACTTATGAACTAGGAGTTTTCTGAGAGCTACAACTTGTACCACCTGAGCACCTCAGATTCATTAGGCGCTGTGTTTAGGGATTGATAGTGCGATATTTCCGAGTCCAAGGGTGTGAACAGCTCCAAGTAGAACGTCACGTGTTGTCATCTCGAAATTACAGTAATTACGACATTCATGTTTGAAAAATTACATCAAAAACAGATTTATCTCGTGCCATCTTTTCAACCCTTCAAACGCAAAGTGCGACCACAGCGGCAACAATGACGCACTAGATCAATAGCACCCCTGTTGTCTTCTTCTTTGATCTCTAGCTGGCGCTTGGTTTGGATCGTTTCCTCAAACCATACGCTGCTGTGGGTGCTAATAGTTGCCGGATTTCATGTACAAGACGTTTCCATCCATTGGGTTTCATGGCCATGGACCTGGCCTCATCGAGGTTGAGACGTTGTTTTCTCAAATCCTCTTCAACCTGTTTGATCCATATTTTCTTTGGCGCTGTTTGTTGGACTTTCCACTGGACAGGTCGATTTCGGAGTTTGTATGGTAACTTGCTTGTATGGTAAAATGCTAGGCCTGGGCGATAAAACGGTATCGATATTTATCGACGGTACACCTTCTTCGATAGAATAGATGTATAGAAAGCCATGCAAAGTTAAAACAGTTTAAACTTTTAGAAAACACGTCATGAATTTGTGGAGGTTTATTCCTTTTCACTGCGTCTCTTATGTTTTTAAATGCAGTCGGTGTGATCGGCGCTTCGGCTCTTTGGATTAAGCAATGCCTAAATACATGATGCTGTTTTGTTCATAATTGTTTATGTAATTTACGAAATTATATTTGATTTTTATGAGTTCATTTAGACATAATGCACATTTTTTTAAATAGAGTTACTTCCTTGCGTTGACAATTTAAATGCGCTGCATTATTTTGCTCGTTGTGCCCTCCTGTGGCCTCGGGAGACAAGACAAAAGTTTCCTTAAAACCTATTTAATCTGCATATAAAACATTAAAATTAGATATTTGCTTAATTTTTATTGTGTGTATGACTGTTAAAACAAAAAAGATTTGTTGTTTGTCTCAATAAATTGGGTTAATTTAAAAATACAGTGATTATATTTAAACTTTTTTTCTATTGCTCTTTGTTTTACAAAAGGTTATAAAAAATGTCAATAATTATTGATGAACATTATATCATTGATACATTTTTTAGCTATATCGCCCAGCCCTATAAAATGCTTTGGTGACCAAACCATTGCAATCGCCGTTTCTGAATTTGCTCCTCAATCGTTGGCTGATATTCGCATCGACAGCGAATATCCGCATTTCGAAGATGGTCACGAAGGGAAACTAATAATCTGGAGTAGGCGCCGCATTTGAAAGACCTCAAGTTTGGCCAGGTCTAATTTAAGTAACGTCCAAGTTTCTGATCCATAGAGGAGAACTGGCAGGATTAAGGTCCGAAAGAGGTGGACCTTGGTTTTGGTGGAGATGTTGGAGCACTTCCACAGGCACCACTTGTGGGAAGCAAAGACTGCGGCTGCTTGACCAATTAGAGTGTGGACTTCTGCTGTAGTCGCTACTTTCCTCTCTTGTACCGCTGTTCCCAGGTATTTAAATTGTTGAACTTGCTCAATTTGGTCACCATCGAGATGAACGATGGCCAATGATCCATCTGTTGCCCCTGGTGTAGTCAGTGGAACTCACGGAAACTTTGTTGCATATAACGGTCTGAGCCCAGGTCGCTCATTTGTTTGGCGGGAGGTTAAACTTCGATGGTGGTGCCATCGAAAAAAGCATCTTTCGCTTTGAGTGTAGATCTGCTGCGTTTGTAGAAGGCTAGAGATTACAGACGTTTTCCTATTTATACAGTAATAATTTGATAGATGATGGATGGATGGATGGATGGATAGATTAGATATTAATTTTCACCATGTTTTCAGGAATAAAATGTTATATAAATCAATGTGAATAATATATGAACAAACCCATCACTGAAAACATTCAGAATATTGATTAAAACTGTTAATAAAAAAAGTTTGGTGTATGTAAGTGCTGCTGAAGTGGAGAAAAAAAAACTCACAGCCTTTAAAGATATTTATTGTAATTAAAATCTACAAATGCAAATAGATAAAGTGTAATAAAATAAACATTTATGCGTGTATATCGGATGTTTTTCTTCCACTAGTTCGAAACAACACATAATGAAAAGCCAAATATCACAAATTCACAAATTTGACTAGTGCAGGTTATACCTGTAGCGTCTTGCCTTAAGAATAGCATCAAGAGCATCCATGTTGTCTTAAACTTTAGCGTCCATCCTCACCCGTCAGCATTAAAGGTTTTTTAGCTCATGTCGGTCTGAGTGCTGGTCTCTATCTGTGAATAGTGCCGCTGTACTTTGCTCTGCTCAGCGCTGATGTTAGAGAACAGCATAATGTTATCGACCCTCCTGTGCTCATCTTAAATGTAATAATATATATATATATATATATATATATATATACATATATACATATTAAATATACTGCAATACTGTGCAAGTTATCTATACTTATAAATTATTTTAAATTTATAAAAAAATATAATATAATTATATATTTTCAATTATAACTTTATAATTTTTTCCCCCATAATTCCCATTAATCCCATAAAATTCATTAGATTGAAATGTTTCTTTAAAAAATAGCTGTTGTTAATTATAGCAGCATTAGATTGATATTTAAATATACTGTATTTTTTATTTAGTATTTATTTTTTTATTTTTCAACCTGGTAATGAGAATTTGTAGTGAAAATAAGTGGTTAAAGAAAATGTCACAATTCAAAAAAAATCTTCATTTTCTTTCTGTTGAATGTAATTACTTATTTGTTTAGTTTTTTGGACATTTTCTTGTAGGTTTTGTGAGATTCGCCCATTTGGACAAGCAAATATTTTTACACACCTCAGCTGTGTATTAAAACAGTACGTGTGTGTGTTAAAACTAGTTGTATATATATTTCATATTTCTAAAACTGGCTGCAAAAACAATTTTAGTTTAAAAAAAATCATCAAATCTTGCATGCTGTATATTAATTGCTTTTAGACAGATATTAGTCATTTTCTGTGCTTATTATATGACCTGTCCCTTGTGTAATTTTTTTTCCTGTTATTATGAAGGTAATGGTGGTTAACTCTAACGGGACGTCGTTTGACTATGTGTCCGCTGTACCCATTGAGAACGGACCGGTCAGTCTGGATATTTACTCAACTCCTCAGTATAAAGTGGATCAGCCTGTTGAATTTGAAGGTGAGATTTAGTACAATTAAATCTATATATTATATCCAGGGTTATTATAGTTTTAAAATATATTGTATTATAGTTATATAGTAACTAAAACACTAATTAAAATATTATATAGTAATCAAAACAATGTTACCTTAAAATATTAAAAATATACTTAAAAATATGTAAAAACTTATTTTATTTCAGTTAGTTGCTAAGGCGTCATTTCTATTTAGTTTAACTTAATGTATTAAAATAACTAAAACTAAAAAGTAAAAAAAAAAACTAATAAAAAAGAGAAAAACTCACAACAAAATTACTAAAACTAACAAAAATTTAAATGAAACCTGAAAATAGTAGAAACTGAAAAGTAGCAAAATATAAGCTAATTGAAACTATTAATAAAAACTATAATAGTATGTCAGTGATACTAAAATAACATGTTCTGTCTGTGCTTCTATTGAAATATGTTTAACTTATTTAGATATTACAGAAAGCTACAGAATACAGAACACATCTTGTTAGTAGTAATTGCCTTTTAATTCTGAAGATGTTTATCTTAAGAAGTAGATACTAAAAGCCAGTTTAAAAAACAAGTGCAATACAGTATACTGTTCTGCTCTTCAGTATCTAGTTTATTTGATACTAAGGCTCTTAAAAAACAAACTGCAAAAACTGGGGCAAATCCAGTGACCAGTTCTTCCTCAGAAGCGCTCATTGCACTATAACCTGGTACTTTGTAAACACAACTGATTAAAATCTCACCGCTGTCTGGGGCTGAGAACAATTTGATCATTCCACTGACATTTTTCTTAAGTGAACAAATTGAAATGACTGTATTATTTTAATGCCCCACACAGAGAAGACAGATGAAAACACAAATGAGATCTCGGACTCACAGCTGGAGGAGGAAGAGGAGAAGACAGATGAGGAAGAGGAACAAGAGGAAGAGGAAGAGCAGGGCGGACCGCCAGACGCTCTAGTAAAAGTGTTCAAGTTCATCATGAAGCAGAGCTACATCTGTGCTCTTATTGCTATGATGGTGAGAAAGTTAAAGGAGGTTAAAGGGATAGTTCACCCAAAAATGAACATCTGCTGTTAATTTACGTACCTTTGGGCCATGCAAGATGTAGGTGACTTTTTTCTTGAGTAGAACAGTAAAGATGATTTTTATGTAAAATCGTGGTCCTTGGTGATTCATAAAATATAAGTCAAAAGAAAAAAAAAAATCAAGGAACACAAGTTAATCCCTGTGGCTTCTGATGATATATTGAGTTCTTATGAAGTGAAACTATCGGTTTGTGCAAGAAACTGATTATTATTTACAACATTATTGCCTGTAATTCAGAGCCTCATGCAAACTTTATATGCTTTAGACATGTAAAACATTCATGTTGCACATAATTTTGGGTGCTTTAGTAATAATAATATACATTACATCATTACGTGAACTGGTGAATCAGTTTTTTGAACCAGAAGCGAAATGTCCAAAATGGAAAATAATCATATTTCCGTTTGCCTGAGGCTGTGGATTAGAGGTCATAATGTTGTAAATACCGTATTGGCCCGAATATAAGATGACCCCCCTTTTTCCAGATGTACCTTTTGGAAAAAGGCTTTTTAAAAACCAAATCTTGTTTTTTCTCAGTAAAACACATTTTGTCTTCAATTATTTTCATATTGCATATTTTTCCTATTTTAATTTTTGTTTCGAAAGTATGGTAAAAACTGGTAAAATGTACCAACAATCACATTTAAAAAATATACACTTTTTGATATACCATTAAAAAAAAAAAAAAACAGGTAGCCCATCTGAATTAGGACATTTAGGCTATCCATCTAATAGTAGCCTACCAAAATCTTATTAACAGTAGAAGTTAAATCTTACTGTAGTCTTTAAATCTGGGTACTGTCTTACGTTTTAAAATCACAAAGGGAGTTTGGTCCCATCAGGCTAACATGACAGTCATGACTCATGCAGCTGTAAGGTTTTGTTTTGTTTTTACTTGCGATCTTTACAACACACATTACATTACGTATTTCATGGCACACTCGTTTTATGCGTATTTGGCGCCACCTATTGTTGTGGGTGTATTATTGACATGTCAAAGTCTAGACCCTGAATATAAGACGCCCGCATTTTTTCAGATGTATTTCCAAGTAAAAAAACATTGTCTTATATTCGGGTCAATACGATAATGTTCAGTTTCTTGCACAGACCAATCGTTTCACTTCATAAGACCTCAGTATATCGTCAGGAGCCACAGGTACCAATTTTGTGTTACTTGATATGTTTTTTTTTTTTTAATTCTCAAAGACGGGCAGACGCTGACTTGCATTTTATGAATCACTAAAGACCACGGTTTCAGCTAAAAATGTTCTTTACTGTTCTACTGAAGATAAAAGTCACCTACTGTACATCTTGGATGGACTGAGGGTGAGTAAATTAACACGTTTTAATTTTTGGGTGAACTATCCCTTTAACTATTCTTTTGAAGTTCTACAGATGATTTTGAGTAGAAAATAATTCAACAAAAAGCATAAAAATACAAACCATGAGATCTCATCAATCTTTCTCCATTTGTAAGGCGTGGAGTATAACGTACGTTAGCTGGCCAACATTCGTCTTTCTGCTGTGGTCCTGTACTCTGTGGATGGTGCGAGACCGAAGGAAATATGCCATGCTGACCTCCCCGTTCATGGTGGCCTATGGGAACCTCCTGCTGGTCTTTCAGTATATCTGGTGTTTTGAGCGCTTGAGTCCAGTGCCGGGTTTCTTTCTGAAGATGGAGGTGCCCTTCAGTGAACTGAGCAGCAAGGTAACAATTATACAATGAACTGCATGATTTTTTTTTAGATTATATATTTTAACTTTAATCAGGCCTCAACTATAAGTAGAGTTGCTGCTGTATCATTGTATGTATATTTAAAATATGTATATTTGTATGTAATATGTATATAAAATTGAATTAGTATATTTTTTTTAGCAAAAACAAATTTCATGAATAAATATATAGACTACCTGTCAAAAGTTTGCAATTAAGATTTTTTAATGTTTTGAAAGAAGTCTCCTCTGCTCACCAAGGCTGAATTTATTTGATAAAAAATACAGTAAAAACAGTAATATGGTGAATGTTTTTACAATTTAAAACTATTTTCTATTTGAATAGAAATGTGGTGCTCAGTTATCAATTATTATTTATCAGTTATTATTAATAATGGTTTATATTATTGTCAATATTGCAAGGTTTTTACTGCTTGATATTTTTGTGAAAACCGTCATATTTTTTTTTTTTTTTTTTTTTTTTTTGGAGGGGTGTTTTTTTTTTTTTTTTTTTTTTTTTTTTTTTTTTTTTAGGATTCTCTGATAAATATAAAATTCAATGAACTGCGTTTGTTTGAACTAGACTTTTTTTTTGTAACATATACACATCTTTACTGTCACTTTTGATCAATTTAATGCTTTTCTGATTAAAAGTATTAATTTCTTTTTTCCTTTTTAGTTTTTATCTTTTAGAAATATAATATTTAAATGAATGGTAGTGTATCACGGTTTCCACAAAAATATGAAGCAGCACAAGTGTTTGATAATAACCAGAAATGTTTCTTGAGCAGCAAATCAGCATCTTAGAATGATTTCTGAAGATCATGTGACACTGAAGACGAGTAATGATGCTGAAAATTCAGCTTTGATCAGAGGAATAAATTGCGTTTTAATATATATTTAAATAGAACATAGTCATTTGAAATTGTAATAATATTTCACAATTTTTCTGTTTTTACTGTATTTTTGAACAAATATTGGCAATCTTAGTGAGCAAAAGAGACTTTCAAAAACTTTAAAAAATCATACTGACCCCAAACTCATGAATGAAGTAGTGTATATTTTATATAAATAGGTAATTTCTTTGTAGTATTTTACAGATAAATTATTAGGCATTCTACAGATAATTTATTTATTTGCAGCAATAGCTGGAAAGTACACAACTATAATGCAACCCCATGACAGTTATGAATTCATAAACACACTTTTGATATAAAATGTCAGTATACCGTGATTTATTTATACATTTCAACCCATTCTAACTGTTACAAAAGTGAGTTGCTACAGTTGCTGTTTTCGGCATTGTGTCTGTAGGTTTTGTGTCAGCTGAGTTTCTGGCTGCTGCTCAGACAAACTTTGATGGAACGACGAGAGAAGATGGAAGAGGAAGCAGCGCTTGGTGACGTCAAAGTAGATGAGCAGGAAAAAAGTGGGTTGTTTATTAGAATCTAAAACAAATGGTTTCCTATGTATAATGTACAGATTAAATCCTGTAATCGTCACTGTCTTAATGCATAAAAAATAACTTTCCATGTGGGTTTTAGAGGAAGAAAAAGACAAAGAGGAAGAGGAGGGGGGCGAGAATGACCTGATGCATGTGATTGGGAAACTAGTGATGGCTCTGCTGGTGAAATACTGGATCTATATCTGCGGAGGAATGTTCTTCTTCGTCAGCTTCGAAGGAAAGATTGTCATGTACAAGATCGTCTACATGATGATGTTTCTGTCCTGCGTGGCTCTTTACCAGGTGCTGCACTGCTATCTAACCTTATAAAGCCAGACAGGTTGTTGGGATTTTGACTTGTGGCCACATGCCTATGGAAACAAGTACAGGTCACACAGGTCACACTACAAAAAATAAAATATATATGGAAAAGAAAAAAAAAGGTGAACTATATATATTTATATAATTTTAAATAAAATAAACTTAATTTTATACATATACAGTAGCTCGCCCAGAAATGAATGTCTGTGTGTGTGTGTGTGTGTGTGTGTGTGTGTGTGTGTGTGTGT